AGGCTTTAAAAGTTTTTTTTTTTTTTATTTGAAAAACAAGTGGCTTGAAAAAAGAGGTTTTTATTTTCTTAATTCTTATGGATGTGGTAAACGACAAGAGAAGAAATGATTTTTTTTTTTTTTTTTTTTCTTTTTCCTAAGGAAAGTGTGATATTTTTATTCGATTTTTCTTTTCTTTTTTTTTCTATTTTTTTTTTTTTGGTGAAAAATAAAAGAGATGGCCTTGAAGGGTGTTCCTCATTTTTCTTTTTTTTATAGCAAAATGAGTATTTCTTTTCTATAAAAAAAAATGCCAAATTAGGTTGATTTAAAACCTGAGAATTAAAAATCGCCTTGGAGAGGCTAACTGATTAGGTTGATAACGATAAGCTTTACCTCAATGGATAAGGCCAAACCACATCTTAGATCCAACCTACGAGCTAGGAGTGATTACAGGCTTACCCATGACTCTCTTTCTTTCTTTTTTTCTTTTTTTCCTTTTTTTTTTTTCAAATAGTAACAGTAAAACAAGAGAAAAAGAGAAGAAAAAAAATAAAAATAAAAATAAAAAGGAAAAGAACAAAAGTAAGAATGAAAACTCAAAAGGAAAGAAATAAACAAAAAAATGGTATGGATACTTGTGCTCTCCTTTGTCCGGATAGGAACCAACAATGAGAAAGATTTTACGACAGTGGTGTGTTTAGGCGCTTACCTCGTCGTTTGGGGGTTCAGAGATACGCTCGGGGAGTTCGCCCTCTTATAACAATTACAAAGCCCTCCTGTTGTCTGCCAACACGGTTTGGACACGGACTCTCCTCAAGCTTTAACGCATCGCCTTGTTCTCTTATGCTGGAAACTACAATGTGAATTCGATGATATTCCTCTATAACGATTTACTCAAACAAGGGTTGGCTAGCAAAAGAAAGAACGGTGAGAGAAATAGTGACAAGAACCCCCTATCGGTGCAAACGCTATGCTCTCAGGCGATCAGAGCAACTAAAGAGTTAGAACCCTATTGACTGTCGACTCAGGAAGACTCCACCCGAGTGAGTGAGGAAGATAATGTATATATTTCTCGTGGCTCAACTCAACTGTACGGAGAGGAAATTAGAGCAATGATCCGAGGGTTGGAACTCTTGGGATGACTCTGAAGGGTATTGATTTGAGCGTATGACAGATAACGGGATGCTATACAGAGCCACAATTTGTTACGTTTAAGCTAGAAGCACAAAGGGGAAGATCGCAAAGAGAGACGGGTCTGCAGGTTCTACGGCTCCGACCCACAATGCGACAAGAATGAGAGAAAGAAGGGGGAAGAGACAGGACCGCACATTTGTTGAGGCACTAGGTTACTATACGAAGCAAGCAACGCGTAGAGAGAGAAGAAGAAAGAGGATAGAAAGTGGGCTGGAGGCGTGCCCTAGCCTAAGAGAGAGAGAACGGGGCCACGTGATCAGGAAGGGTCAGTGGTAGTTCTCTCTCTGAAATTTTCTCTCTCCTCACAGCTGGATCCATGGGTTAGAAGCAAAAAACAAGTGGACGCAAATTTAACGCCTCGATTTCGTTAATAAATGATCTAGCCTTTTTATAATTAACCTATGCTTATTTATATAGAGGACCCACCAAACAGGGGTGGATGCCCAAAACTAAGCCAAATTATGATTAAAAGAAATTACAATAAAATCCCGATTTTAGAAAAATGACCAAAATACCCTTTAAACCTTTTGTGCTAATGACGAAAGCATCCTTCTCTGAGGGGCCTTTCACCATTGCCAGATCTTGGGAGATTTTTTGAGTGCTTGTGGAGGTCGTT